GATGATGATGATATAAGGCACTCAATCAGCCAGGTATATCTGAGCTATAAGACATTGACGTAGGGAGTGCGGTACATACACCCTCACAATCCTTCTTGTATTCTACCAAAATTATTCTATTTATTTTATTCCATTTAGCGGTCCAGATACTCGGTTTTCGATAACAAACCTGAAGGCGAAAAATATGGAGCGTATGGACTACACACACACACACATAGTAAAACAGCACCTGAGCAAACAGTTCGTTCAACTCGACCATACGCTTTTGTGCTACTTGGTCGATTTGTGCCAAACGAGCCTGCACTTGTGGAGACATGTCCGACGAGTGGACAACAATAGCTTCTGTTCCGACTGCATGTGCGCCATCGAGACAGGAAGGATCATATGTGGCGAAATTGGAAGATTCACCCTTTTCGATGAGTTGAAGAGGAGGAGCGCTTTGTACATGGTCCTCTGGAGCAGTATCAGGAGAACCACAAGGGTCAACGGGTATTGGGACCGCTTCAGTCGGAAGTGGCTTGGTCGTTGGGGAAACTGAATGTCCATGAGCAGTGAGGATAGCGTTCTTTTGATATTCGGCATCCCTTAGAATGAGTTCATTTAGATAGGCCTAGGTGTGAATGAAAATGAAGCGAGAAGAAAGAAACTCATAAAATGCGACAAAACCCCAAGCTTTCGCACGAAGATTCAATATTTCAATTATTCACGTCCACGGGACTGAGACTGATCAAATATAAGATAAGATGTCCTTAGCTCCATTGGCAACGATTACCAAGTGACTGATGTGCCTGACGGATAAAACATGGTCCGGAAACAAATGAAAAAATCAAAAATCATGTGCGAGACTCACCTGAAGGGCGACTTCTTCTTGTTTTCGCTTTTCATCTAAAGCTTCGAAACGCTTACGTTTGGCCTGCCGAATCACCACTGTGATATCGTCCCCAAAATTTCGATGTTGTTCCTGAGCCAAGTTGTGCGCATGCATCAACTTGTTTAAGGCTTCATCCCACTGGCAGAGACCAAGGTGGGCTTGGCCAGCGAAAAAGTAGGCCTTCAGGTTGCTACTGTCCAATTCGATGGATCGTCTGGAGTGAAAGAAGAATCGTAAACTGACAGCAGGAGTAACCAAAACGAGATAGAAAGACCGAAAAAGATATAAAATAAAAAAAATAATGAATTCAGTTAAGGACAAGCGAAGCAATACCGAATATATCCTAAACTTCAACGAGACGGAGTTCTGCCTGTTGCATGTCAGAATTACTCAACCGAGGAGCAGTTATTAGCTTGAAAGCATTACCGAACGTTGTCTTAAGAAAAACATTGGTGAGTATGGTGGAACGAAATCTAACTTGGATTCAAGAGGTGTGCTGCCTGAAAATAAGATGGTTACTGGCCACCAGAACAGAAAACAACAGAGAGTGTACCAATCGTGTAGTTTAGTCCTTGACCGGCCGTTAGAGGTTGGAGAGTAGATTGAGTTTTCTGTTCACTTGATCGCACGGCAGCACAGGGGAGCCGGCATACTGCCATTCTTAATGGAATGGTTGCACGTACTTCAACCCCAAACTAGAAGGACCAGACCACTCGCCATACATGTGGTGGACATTCCACGAGTGCTGAAACAACGCACTTCAAAAATATAACTCGACGGGTAAAAATAAAATAAAAATAATAAATCGTTCAAGTGTAGCACCCTTTCGGTGCCTAGCTGCCATGCCACCAGGAAGAAACACGAGGGCTGGGATACTGCCAGGTTGCCCAAGCCTAGACAGGGGAAGTCGAGAGGCAGAGGTCGGGTTCGAACCTCAGAACTTCCGGCCAGTAAATTCGCGCCCTAACCACTTGGTCCATCTCGCCCCTACTCGACGGGTCACAGAGAAACGCTGATAATCACCCTGTGATAAGGTCCTGGTTCTCAGGTAAACAACTCCAAATGCACCTCGTGTCCTAAAATAACCCATGAAATATACGCATTGGATTAGAGGGCGGACAAAAAGCTCGCGCACATCTGTCTGGAAGCCCCTAACTTTATCAATTATTTTTAACACGGGGAATAATAGCCTAAATCAAGTTATTAGCAAGATTTTTGCCAGACCAAAGAAATCATCAATGAGAAAGACAGCCAGACGTAAAATTAAACCCCTCCGTTTTCTGCAAATTGGTCAACCGCTTGACGGATTATTCTCTCAAGTAAAGTGTAGATGGAAAAACTGTCTGTAACAGTGCCAAAACCCAGTGACCGGACCGGGAGTTGGAAAATACGACGACATGCCGACAATCATTAGTTGTCAGTGCAACACCGCAGTCAAAGTATACCAGGCTCCGACAACTACTTCCACTTGCACAGGAGATTCAACTGAATCCAGCCGAATCTCTCCATAATCATGGTTCGTTTCAGTTGTGGGCTGCCGAGGAGTTTTCAGCAACTTTATGAAAGGCGTGTTACTTCTATACCAATCTTAGATTTTTTCCGCTGACCTATAAATATGCATGCTTCCTTCGCTTGCTGAACAGTAAACACTCAACAGTTTTTGGGGCTCAATCTTGAAAACATGATACTAACAGATTATACTTAACAAATAGGATGAATAAGTGGGATTAAATGTGTTTCGTACTGTATTCTAGTCTCAGTTGGACAACTCAGTGACGTGTTACTATGAATGTACCGGACACAAAACGAATAGACACAGATTGAAACTGAGTCTTATAATTGATTCTGGGATATTCTTTGATGACGTAATGTGGTAGGTAGAAGGTAGAATTAACCGTAGTGTTTGTAGACCGAGTGTTAGTGGGTAATTTAGATCAGATAAAGGAAAATGACTCAGGTCATACCTGCAATCCGACAAAGCCTTGGAATATTCTTGAATTTGCACATAACATAGTGCCCGGTTGGAGTAATAAGATGATATGTTTTGTTGCTTCTTAATGGCGCATGTGTAATACATCACTGCCTCTTGGTACCGCCCTTCTGCGTACGCCCGATTCCCCATATCTTTCAGCGTGTGGTGGGGTAGATTGCAAACATCAGACGCATTCATACTGGCCCTCCAATATTAGCACCTTCCAGAATATAATGAGACTGAAAAGGCAGACCAGACTGATGCCCCCTTTAGCGGGCGACAGCTGCAGGAAAACACGTGTTTTGCTGCATAGTGGTATTCCAAGGCGGCTGGCAAAAACAAATGATAGAACACGTGTTATTGGAACAGCTTCATTAAAGCCTCATCATCATCATCATCATCACCGACAGCATGACATCAGTGCTCAACATCGATGCTTCACTGCCATACAACCATGATTTATTTGAAAGCCTCATTGTAAAGAAAAGGTGAACAGGGAAGGGACTTAGTGCTAGCCTACACAATCATTCCGAGGGGCCTATACCTCCAGACATTCACTCAGGCAATCTGGATAGAAACTGACAACAAAAACGCCACCGACACCGCTTGGCAACCATATCTTGTAGTGTCTCCAACCAGGCACAGTGAGGATCACGCGGTCCCGATCCTGGAAGGCGAGTAGCACCGACA